CCTGGGTTGCCTGTAATACTGAGGACTTGTTGCCATAGTGTTTGGAACTGTAAGTGAACACCTTTCTACTTATATTTTGCCAAATAATAATTGTGCCACTTCCTAGGTCTCTGTGTGCCTTTTATTCCAATCAACTGGCCCCGCCTACAGGGTGAAAATGCTACTCTTCCATAGATACAGTACAGTGATTGAGGGTTGTCACCCTAGGACAAGAAGTGTGTTACTAGAAGGATCAGGAGGTGAAAATAGGGGGGAAAAGCCTGAAAAAAAAGAAAATGAATGCAGCCATCTTCTTGCAAGACTAAAACAAAGTGGTCAATGCAAGACACAGAAAACATTAAAAAGGTGTCAGTGTGGAAAGGTCTACTAAAATTACCTTCAGCTTGATAATCCAGTTATATGGCCTGTAGGCAGGAACACAGCTTTTTTCCACATAGTGATTACCGGAAATTTCCAGTCCTGTAATAGAAATCACATGTACCCCTCAGCCGTCTTGTGTATATATTTTTATAAGGAATGAACAGAAATGTATCAAATATTTACCATCAATTGATTTTTTTTTACAGGTAAAAGTAATGGTGAGAATCTGTCCATCACAAGGGATCCATGACACATCAGAATCCATGTCTTTTTTAAAAGTTGACCCTCGAAAGAAACAGATCACTCTGTATGACCCTTCTACATGTGGCCCCACCATGACAGGCCACAGAAGAGCTGTGGTTGCCGTCCCAAAGATGTTTGCCTTTGATTCAGTATTTCCTCAAGATGCTTCACAGGTAGGCCAAGTCATCATCATTGGGGATAAACAAAATGTAGCATATTTATTTTCAGGGTAAGACCGAATCGAATGCATCTTTAAGGAAGTACAATGGCAGCTGTCACTGACATGACTTTAATAACAAAGCCATGCGATTACCATGCCAGTACTAACATGGTGATCACATGGCTTTGTCCTAAAACCAAACAATAATATATCATTTTTTTTTTTTTTTGCCTAAGTGTAATTTGAAGTTAAGTTTTACATTATTTCTGCAATGGTGAAATCAGTAATATTACTGCAAAAACAAGTTCTACAAAATCTCACCACTAATCATGGTACCATTCTTCCAGAAACTCATCTAATGCTGCATATATGGAATGCATTGTGCTATTTGCTGCATCATTTCATGCAAATTTCAAAGCTAACTTTTTTCCAATAGCCACACTTTAACCACATCAAATGTCTATATTTATAAACTTTCTCACCATTTCTCATTGATTGCTAAACGTTTGATAGAGAACTTACGATAGCAGACTATTTTAATTCAGGCTTAAATGTCACTTTATGCTAAAGACATATCTCTGGAGACCAAACCTATACGACAGTATGGCAACTTGCTTACTTTACAAGATTCACGGGCAATATCAACTTGCCTAGAAGTAGAATAAAAAGTAATTATTGAAGAAAATAAGTCCACAATAATATGTGCTTGATCATAGGTTGATCAAATTAGGAAGCAAAGTGTTTTTGGGTAAGAACGTTTACTTGTGTAACATGCTGATGCTGTAGTTTTGATGTTTGGCTGTTGGTGCTTCTTACTTTGACAATAAACCTAAGATTGAGTAAAAACATATCAGGGAGCTGTTATCTGGGATAATTGCTTTGTGCGGTGGGACCATGCAAAGTCCAGAAGCTGTGATTGAAAGGATTAAACAATTTTCCCATGCTCCAGCAATGATTTATTTACATGGAATTCGATGTAGATTATGCCAACCAGTTCTGTTACAAAAGGATGTGTTTCTTGTGTGGTAAAAACACATTTCTATCTAGGTGACACACAAACAAAACTGCAACATGGATATGCTGGGGGTCATTATCTGTGGGATGAACTACTTGAGAACAAAACAGAGTACAGAGGAACATACCAAATTCAGTATAAAAATAAACAGGCTGTTGTGACAGTACAATATTTACTGCTGATGCAGATATTGCTGTCCAGGAATACTAATCTAGCAATCCTATTCCCTGCACAGACAAACAAGAAAGCTTTTACTTTGAGTCTATTCAAGGTTCTCATTTTTAACTGAAGCCCTGATGAAGGGGGAGTTCCTTTGACCCCCCGAAATGCATCTTTTTAACACAATGAGTTCTTCAAATGTTTTTTGCCTTCTCACTACCTTGCTTAAACTCATATCAAAGTCCCAGAACTTATTGGATGCTCACAAGGATGGCAGAGGGGGCAGTGAAAACAGATGGGCTGACCTCCCACCTACAAGTTAACATGGTGGACAAGACTGTATGGATTGTCACGCAGCAGCAAATGTTATATAGTGCATCATATTTGGCAGGTGGTACTGCAACAAAACATGCCACATTCAAATGAATAGGATCGCGTTACAACTGTGATGTAACAATGTCTAATGCACATGGTTGCGGTGTGGTGGGGAAGGATCCCCCCAACCACACACAGAAAACAAGGTATTGAGAAGACAACTTATCATCTCAGAGCCACCTGTCAATCAGCTCTGAAAAGTGATCCACCAATTGCCCATGTGAATGAGTCCTTTGTTTTCATCATGCATAGTGTAGAAGAATGCATACTATCTCACAACCATTATAAATACCAGGCTGTACTAGATACTGTATTGATAGTTTGCTACCATGAGTTGGCACAAACCCCAGAGCTCAATCACGTCCCCCCTTTTCTGAATAGCCCTAGGTGGGTCTCTTTGCGCTCACAAACCCATAGATACAAAATTGCATTTCTGCAGCATAATCAGAAATCAGAAGTAGCCATTTTCCCCTCTTCTCTTTATAGGCTGAAGTTTGCTCTGGGACCGTGGCGGAAGTCATTCAGTCTGTTGTGAATGGTGCAGATGGATGCATATTTTGCTTTGGTCATGTCAAGCTTGGTAAGCTCCCAGATCTGTTACAGTTAATTACTATGTTAGTCTGTTAATTACATGCTGTCATTTAATGGTTCAGCAAACACACAGAATGCAAATAGATTATAGCTTTTAATTAGTTGCAAAACTTGCTTCAGTTAATTCCTCCAGGAAAGGTTTGAACCAAACTGCAACTACACAAAAAGCAGACACCTAACCTTGCAAGTCTGATCATTGTAACAATTTTTTTCCAGGCATCTAGTTTATTCATTTCAATATTTTTATTCTAATATTTATGAAACAATGTGTGATACATTACAATCAATAAGTATAACATAGCATAAAGAGAAGTGCAAGGGTACATATCAACATTCAATGGAAATATCACACTCTGAAACATTAGCATTATACATTGTTGGGGATACATAGGTAGTGTGTATAGATTATTTTGTGTATTGCAAATTGCATGTAGTGGGAGCATATACTGTAAATGTTTCAGCACAGAACAAAAATAAGTTAGTGGTTACGTAGCAAGGGAGGAGAGGAGATAGAAAAAGACAAAGAACAATAAAGAGGGGTTTTAAAGGTGAGACAGGAAAATGTTATCAGGGAAGTATATAGATGGTTAAAAGGACATATCAAATTGTTTGGTCCATAATTATCTATCTAGGGGAAACAAATGTTGGTAAATTTTGGAATAGTCTGTGAGGACTGCAGAAAGTTTTTAATTGATCTTTGTCCAGGTTAAATGTTTTTGAACGCTGCGAAGCATCTAGTTTAGCTTTTGTTATATTGCGACATGAGAACGAAATCAAGACTATTGCCCCATACACACGATCAGAAAATCGTACGAAAAAGTTTGCAAAACCACTGATCGAACGATTTTCTCTTCATTGGTGAGCAGGATGTTTTAACAGATAATGATATTACGAATGAAAAAATCTGGTTGAACAACAGTGAAAAATGTTGTTTCGCATACGAACGACCGATTCTCTATGCGGTGGTATGACGGTCAAATCTATCAAGCGCTATCAGGCATGAGCGGAAACAGAAGATGACCCGGATGTTTATGTTCAAGGAATCATCGTAAACACGACGAACGAAAAATCCTAATATTAAAAGTAGACTGGCCTAATGAGATAATGAAACCAGAATTATACATACTATATTTTTATGGATCACTATTTATGTATATACTTCTGGCTGGAAGGGCGTGGCTATAAGGACACACGCACACTGCATCACTTCCACTTGTACGGAAGACATCAACACTACTTATGGCCAGACGAACAATTTTTTTTTTAGATTGGTTATTGTTGGCCACGATTTTGACCAATGAACGAACGCCCTCTCGGTCATCGGATGACCGATCAGTCTATTTTCTAATCTTGTATTCCCACCTTTAGATGGATGCATTTCTGGTCTGTGAACACAGCTTTTGCAGAAATGGTTATTGGAAAAAAAACTATGCTGAATTTTGAGCATCCCAAATGCAATTTAAACAAACCACTTTCTCTTCCACACACCCAGCAGCTATCCTTAAAGAATAGGTAAAATGATTTACTGGGCATGGTCCATTTTTGTCACTATCAAGAAACCTGCCCAGAGAAATGCCAAGCAGCCATGGAGTTCATGCTTCTGTAGAAGAAGTGGCTGCAAAAGGCTGCAGGAAATTGACAGCACTTTTAAAAATTATATGAGACACAGAGCTTCAGCAAACTAAATGTCATTCAGTTATGGTTTACATCTACTACTGAATGCGACACAAGCACCACTGGTGGAGGGGGGCATGCAATACATTTTTTGACCAGCCTGAAGTGGGACCTTAAGAAAGAGAAGGTGAGGTAGTTATGGAGGATCTAAAATTCAAGTTTGTACATGTGTACTTGCAACACGGGCAAAAATTCATATCTATGCACAGATATGTGGCTAAAAAAGATATTCTCCTGAAACCATTGTAGATTTGTTGCATGTGGTCATTTAAAATAGACAGTGTGGATTAGCCGTCTATTTTTTTTTATCCGATTCTGAACAACTGTAAGCAATCACTGGCTGATCATCTGTACAAATAAGTCCATTGTCCTGAAGACAATCAGAATCTAACTGTGCTTCCTCATTTAGGTAAGACCTACACCATGATTGGTAAAGATGCCTCTACACAAAGCCTTGGCATTATCCCTTGTGCAATCTCTTGGCTTTTCAAGCTAATCAATGAGCGGAGAGAAAAGACCGGCACTCGCTTCTCAGTCCGAGTATCTGCTGTGGAAATCTATGGCAAGGACGAAAACCTTAAAGATCTGTTAGCTGAAGTAGCCACTGGTAGCCTTCAAGATGGTCAATCCCCAGGAGTCTATCTCCGAGAAGATCCAATATGCGGCACTCAGGTATAATGGCATTCTGTGGATTATTTATTTAGAAGTTTTCTCCTTTTCTTTCTCTCAAATATCTGACTTGTGTTTGTGAATCTTTCTTTTTGGCCATTAAGAACCTCATAAAAACTCTTGCTTGCCTACGAGCCAGAAACCCTAGTCCCTGGGTGTACATATTTGTTTTTTTGATTGCCCGGGAGACTTGGCCGGTTGTGGAAGAAAGAACACCCTTATCCTAATTAAGTGTTTTTTTTTTTTCATGCTTGCAGCTTCAAAACCAGAGTGAGCTGAGAGCCCCCGCAGCAGAGAAAGCCGCTCACTTTCTCGATGCAGCCCTAGCGGCAAGAAGTACCAGTAAGCCAGATTGTGATGAAGAAGATAGAAGGAATTCTCATATGCTTTTTACTCTTCACATATACCAGTATAGGATGGAGAAGAGTGGAAAAGGAGGAAGTATGTGTGGTTTTTTGCTATGCACTTTACATGTAGTATGTTATTATCAAAACAGTAGTTATGTAATAAGATGGAAAAATGATAACTGGGAGAATTCAGCAACATAGCAAAGTGTGATCAGACCATTAAATATTATTCTGATCAGTTGTACTTTAAACAGTACTTTCTACACCTTTTCTAATATTACATTACAAATAATAAAAGTGGTCTCAAAGGAAACCTGTAGTAAAAGAAACATAGAGGCTACTATTGCTGACCTTTTCTTATGAAATGCCAGCTGCCTGGCTGTCACAGTAGTTTGATGCCTTCAATACTTGCTGTGGCACTGACCTAGAACAAGTATGCGGATCAAGAGTTCTGACTGCACACTTTCTAAACTGCATGCTTGTTAAAGGGTCAGTGTCACAGAAAGCCACAGACAGCCAGGCTAATTGCATTTTTAGATGGAGGTTGCTAATGAAAACCCTTGTATCTCTCTCACTTTAGCTTTCTTTTAACAAGCCGCTAAGGCTTTGCAAGTGCCAGCACCCCAGGGAAAGGCATTAATGGATACCAGAGAAACTTACATATATTACCACATCAGTTAAGGGTAAATTAATCCTACATTCTCCTTTTCATCTTTCCATATGTGAGTGGGAACATGAAAGAGAGAACCTACTGGGCAGTCTAGGCAAGTTTTTTTTCCCCTCTTTCCCACTTTTTTTTTTTTTTGTTTAATGAAGCCAAATGTAATCAAATAAAATTCTGTTTCTTCAAATCTTGGAAAACATAATCTTCCAGCATGTAGTGTTGTATTGCAGGTGCACATAAAAATTTGATGCCCTTAGCAGGTTCATGGGAAACAATGGGGCTTCCTACCGTTGAATAGAGACATGTGGTTTCCTTGAGGTTGATATGTGCTGGGGGAATACAAAATGGAAGGAAGTGGATGTAGGATTAAATAATGGTCGGACTGGGCTTGGTAAGGTTGTGAAGTATTGAAAGGTCAAGTGTTTAATTTTCCTCCTGAGATAATCAAGAATAGAAGCATGCATTGCCTATACCGCCCGAAGACCACTTAGATACAGTAAACACATTCACTGTAAGTTGTGTAATGCAAGGAGGAAGATGCATAGTTAAATGACGTGAACTGCTTAACCAGCCAGAAATTTTGCAAAGCATTGCACACACTTTTGTGATCGCGCACACAAGCTGAAATGAAAAAAAAAATCTTTTGTGCTCAGACCCTGTAGGGTACCAAGTTTATAGTTAAAGTGCTCCACTACTTGTTTTAGATTTATTTTCCGTTAGATGAGGTTGGAGTTGGAGGGTACAGAGCAAAGACACAGCTGGATGATATGGCTGACCTAAAGTGTACCTTTTGGAAACTTTACAAGTTTGCATGAATAAAATGTCACAATATACAGAAGAAATGTTATATTAGAAAAGCTCTTTTATTGTACAAAAAAAATGCTCCAGTTCTGTGGCTTTGTTTAGGCTGGGATGGGATTACATCATCAGTCTGTTGCAGGCAAGAGTAAACATTTTCTCAGTCTTCTCCTTCCCAGTGTTCAGATTATTCAGCAATTATGCAATCAAAGTGCTATACTTACTTTAAGCATCTATAACTCTAATAGTAATGGGTCAATGTGACCAGCACCTGTTCCTAAGTTTTTCATTATATAAAAAAGCTGAAAAACCTTTGCAGCAGCTATGCTTGGGTACCACGCCAAGGAAATATGCAACAACTCTGCAGATGGTCTCTTTCCACTGTGTACTTGCAATAGCCACAGTACAATGCTTGTCAGTTGTTAACCTGTAAAGGCCCGCTCATAGCAGATGTGCTGAGCTGCAGTGGACATTTATTTATTTATTTCATCCATGCCCAATTCAAAGACAAGGTAGAAAGACCTAGGTTCCCCCTATCATACATTCAGTTCAGTGAGAGGACCAAACAAACTTCCAAGTGGCTGGGGTAATTTCATGATATAATTGATTTCTAGCTGAATAAATATAACACATCTCGGGGGCCAAATACACTCACGCTTCATGAGGGCTAAGAAATTTTAACTACGGGCATGTGTAAGAGTTTAAGTGGCCTTTGACGCATTCTAATACTGGCATGACCTGCTATCCTGAAATTGTTTCAAGCAATAAATTACAGTGAAGATTTATTTGGTATCTACTTACCCAAGCCTATTATGGTAACATTCTTAGGTCCTGATGAAGGAGGGAGTGTTTTTGGCCTCCAAAATGCAATGGCTTTATTCTACAATTAATTAGGTTTATCATAAAATTACCTTGAGCTCTTAGACGTTTGTTTGGCACTCTCATTGGATTGTATGTATGCGGATCCTCAGTTATTGGTCCTGTCCCTGTTACTGGGGTGCTGGCTGTTTAATGGAGTGCTGCCGAATCAAAGCTACTGTGCCCAGTGACAATTTTGTTGAACCTTAGTCTGAATCCAGCACCCCGTTTGTTCTTCTGTTTGCTCCCTAACACGGCAGTTCACACCACCACTCTGTGGTTGTGTGCGCTGAAAAAGTATGATATGCAGTACTTTTTTTCAGCTTCACATGGTGCAATTGCTGGCCACTGCATCATATTGTGCTGCAGCCAACAGAACTGAATTAAATGTTATTTTGTGACATTTTAATAAAGTTCTAAAAATAAGGTTATCGGTGCGATTACACACTATGCTACAGTGCACACTGCAGGTGTTAACAAGCCCTAAAATACAACTAAGGACTTCTGTATGACAATCTAAACAAGTACCAAATCCATTTAGTATGTTATGCTCAAGTCTCATAAAAGTATACAAAAAAAAAAACCTCTTTTACGTTTCCTTACTGAGCCAAATCCTCCTTAAAGCAGAACTACACTGCATCTGAGCACAACATATGAAAAACGATTTATTTTATTTTTAATATTGAAAGCAAACTCCCCTACCCATCCATGTCCCCATGCTTTATTTAGCTGAGAAATCACTTTGAAAAGCACCCCCTAGCATTTCTGGCCATCTAAGGGCAGATGATTCATGTAGCATTTACTTCCTGGAATCCATCTGCCCTAAGCTCAGGCGTGCAAGGAGGAGGGTGTGCTTGGCTGAGAAAGCCCTTCCTTCCCTCTTGAAGACTCCAGGGATGTATGATATCATTTGCCTAGGCCTGGAAACAAGTTTAACACAAGTGTGTGTGTGTGTGTGTGTATATATATATATATATATATATATATACACACTTTCCTGTCTATTTATTAATGCTAGCAGAGTAAGGGTTAAAAATAGTTATTGTTGATTGAGAGAGTGAAGTTCCACTCTAATTTATGTCTCACATACTCCCTCTGCCAGACACTTCAGCTCACAATGGGAGAAAAAAATGCTATATGTATAATTTCTTTTTTTTTTTTTTTTTCATGTCAGTGTCTGGAGGACGCAGCCGTTTGCACCTTATTGACCTTGGTAGCTGTGAAAAAGTGTTGAGTAAAAGTCGTGATGGTGGAGGCGGTTTATGTTTATCGCTGAATGCACTGGGCAGTGTCATAATGGCCCTAGTAAATGGAGCCAAGCACATCCCATATAGGTAAGCTTTACATATATTGCATATAAAATGTCAGCCTTGCCACATCGTCGGTTTTTAGCTTCTGGTCTCCTCTCATTGTGCTCTTGTTTGTGTCACGTATGTACATGTGTTTTTTTCCTAATAACTCTATTCCTGCTTGCTAATACATATCTTATAGTGATTGTAAGTCATTGTAAAGATATTCATACAAATTAAAGTCAAATTATAGGCAGATATAATCAATTCTTGCATTTATTTTTTGAATGAAACTAGTGCCTTGAGCAGAGAGATAGTTTAAGTCTCTGGCTGCTCCTTTGCTGTCCATTCACAAGCAGGGGGAGGGAAGTGACCAAGATGAATTGCTTAGCTGAAGAAGAGAAAGGGCGGGTAATCTTTCTGGTGGCAAGCAGAATGACCTATAAATTAAATGTGCCAAGAATTTTTATGAAAAAGGTCATGCATTGTTCAACCAAAAAGATCTATAATTTTAGGGGGTGATATCACAAACCTGGCAGTTGCAGAACAGCACAAACATGAAACATAGCCTCACATGTTGCAGGCATACATATTGGTTTTGTATCTGTACTACGTAGGAATTTCATAAAGGCAGCCAAACAGGCCTACTTTTCGTCAATATTATGATTAGCAGTGGTTAACTGCTTCATTTCTTGAATTGTTTGCAAATTCTGGTGTCAAAAATGGAAATAATTAATCCCTTAGTAGCCAAGGGTGGTATTAACCAAGTTGCACTGAAGTTTATGGCAGTCTGGCCAGGTTAAATTACAGCTAGCTGTCATTTATAGCTCTGGAAACAGCTGGTATTTTTAATGTAATCCTTTTACTTGCTTGTTGGCATGCCCTTACAATGCTGGAATAAGAAAAAAAAAAGGAATGTCTCTTTCCTCGGGAACAAATGCCCAGTGCAGAATTTTAATTCACATTCTCCCTTGTTAAATAGGGACAGCAAATTAACTATGCTCCTGAGGGAATCTCTGGGGAATATTAACTGCCGAACAACCATGATTGCACACATCTCGGATTCTCCTGCAAATTACCCAGAATCCCTTGCCACTGTTCAGCTCGCTTCAAGGATTCATCGAATGAGAAAGAAAAAATCCAAGGTTAGTTTGTTCTTTATTTGTACAGCATGTGGGTGGCGGAGCATACTTTGTTATGCTACACTGTATTAATAATATCCGAATTTGTTTTTACACTTCTGTAACGTTACAGTGCAGCACTGTCAAGTAAATTATTCAGTATATTTATAACTATTGCACAGGAATGCGTTTATTTAATATAGTAGTACAGAGGTCAGTGCTACCATACAAAGTGCAGTAACCAATAGCAAGCAGATGTCAGTTTGCTGTACTTTGATCAGGGACTGGTTTTTATAGGTTGAAACACCTTGGACGTTACCTGGTAAAAGTGTAATTCTTCCCAAAACTGGTATTTTGATTTTGGTTCTTCAAAGAAATTGGCATGTTTAAGTATGGAAATGGAAGAATCAGAGAGATGCAACAAGAAAAGAAAACCACATTAAAGGGTCAGTCTTTAGTGTTTTGATAATGCTAGTGAGTACGGTTATAAACTACCTGATGATTCCTTATATCTCTTACCAGATCTGCACATCTGCTGAGGGGCACCCGCTCTTCGAGTTGGGGAGCTTTTATGTATATTATATTATGGAGATTGCGCCAGGAAAGCCTAGAACTTTCAGAGGAGGCCGGAAACACCCAAAAATCCTAAGGAGAAGGAGAGTCCGATGTTAGGGTATCTAGACATCAGAAAGGTTTCTTCACAGTGAGAGCTGTGAAAATGTGGAATAGACTCCCTCAAGAGTTGGTTCTAGCCAGCTCAGTGGATTGCTTTAAAAATGGCCTGGATTCTTTCTTTGATATACAGAATATAACTGGTTACTAAAATTTATAGGTAAAGTTGAACCAGGGAATATCTGATTGACTCTTGGGGGTTCAAGAAGGAATTTTTTGTTCCTCTGCAGGAGCAAATTGGATCAATCATGCTTTGCTGGGTTTTTTTGCCTTCCTCTGCATCAACTGTGGGTATAGGATTATAACTTTTTTTTTTTTTAATGGTTGAACTGGATGGACTTTGGGGACTTTTGTCTTTTTTCAGCCGGACTATGTAACTATGTAAGAAGTGAAGGGCATATATGGGTATCTAGACCCTGGAATTCATAAAGAGTGGCGCAGACAGATTTTGCGAAAGTGTCTCTCATGCATTTTAAAATTGGTGAAGAATGTGCCAAATGTAATGTATGTGTCCAGAACTTGTACTGGAACTTGACTTATGCTACCCCACTGTTAAAATGGACTTGAGACACTTTTTGGAAAATCTGTCTGAGCCAGTTTTTCTCTCTGTACCCCAAAAGAGAGTTGGTCTTAATTAGCTCTACTTTTACATTTGGCGCATTCAGTGTGACACAATTTAAAAGTGTCACATTTTAGAACTATCTGAATTTGGTGTCGCTGTCAAAACCAAAAGTGTTGCCAAAGCTTTGTGAATTTGGCTCAATACATTAACGAGAGATTAATGCTAGAAAAGTGGTGCAGCAGCTTTATTGAATTCCCCCCACAGAGCCTACATCTAAGGTATCTAGACATATACATAAAATAAACCAGCAGCCTACCAAGCTCTACCTAAAACAAACATGTCACATTTTATGGTGGTCTGACTCTTTAAATGAACAGAACATATGTTATTATCAGTAACAGCCCATGAGACATAAAATAATATTCTGTATTCCTTGTGTCAGCATTCAATGTAGTTTAATTAGTCCAGGAGAGAGAAACACCCCAAAAAATTCTGCTGCTCACCTTATGTAGTTTACATTTAGGCCTAGTGATAGGGCAAAAAAAAGCATTATGGAAGGAGTAGAATTTGATGGGGTGTTTGTTTCACCTGGATAATAAAGTTCCATTGAACTTTGCTGTGAGTGGTAACCATGTGCTCCTTTTTGTGTTTAATTTTTTTCTCTAGCAACCTTAGGCATGTAACAAAGCTAGTTACAGTAAACTGTGTGCTGTTTCACATAACCATTCACATGAATGAAAAAAAAAAAAATTTTTTTGTTGCATTACTTGATTCATATGACTAAAGTCTTTTCACCTACATACAAATTAGTAGGAAAGAAAAATGTGCAGCTGCTGCTTTCTCATTGAGTTTTATTTCCCTTCTGTCTTCTAGTATGCATCAAGCTCTTCTGGAGGAGAGAGCTCCTGTGAAGAAGGCCGTTCTCGAAGGCCACCACACTTAAGACCCTTCCATCCAAGGACGGTAGCACTTGATCCAGACTTCCCTGGGTTGGGAATGCATAGTGATCATGACTATTCCTCCAGTAGTGAACAGTCATGTGACACCGTTATCTATGTTGGTCCCAATGGAGCTGTTTTGTCTGACCATGAGTTAACAGACAATGAAGGTCCTCCAGAGTTTGTCCCCATCATACCTTCACTTCTTAAGAAAAGAAGCAAAGACAACATATCAAGCCTTCGAAGTGCTGATAATGATCATTTAAAATGCAACACTTTTGCTGAGCTACAGGAGAGACTTGAGTGTATTGATGGCAGTGAGAATCCCTCCAGATTCCTTAATGAAGAAGCTCTCTCAGTAGCTCTTTCTAATAAAGCCATGGAAAATGCACACTCTATGCCAGTACAGGAGAAACCACCATATTCTCCCAAAAAAGGCCAAGTCAGTACTATTACTTCATCTGCTTTTTCACTAAATTGTTCAGGATCGGAAACAAGTGCACCTCATCTCATATCTGATCAGCCTCAAGAACATGCCAAAGCTGAAAGTATATATATGGACTGTTTCTCAAATGGAGATCAGCTGACAATCACAGAAAGGCAGAATTGCCCACTGTCAACTGCTGGCAAAATTAAAGAGCAACCAAAACCATTTGCTGATTCATCAGTGAGAGAAAAAAGCCTCCTAACAAGAAGACCTCTACCCAGTCCTGCACCACCACCTCCTCAGATGAACTCACATGTGACCTCAGAATCAAGCAGTGGTGTCAGAACTCCTCCCATTGGCATGAGCAACTTAAGATGTCAAGACAAGCACAATTTACTAGGCAGCACACTCCCGGTTGTTAGTAGCACTCCCAAACCATCTGGACCAGTTGAGGTACGCAGGTTTTGCTCAGCAGTAAAAAGCAAAGGTTTTGATCGTGATATCTTAACCACCACAGTGACTTTGCAGAAGCCTGTTGAACTTAATGGAGAAGATGAACTTGTTTTCACTGTTGTAGAAGAGTTGTCTATTGGTGGTATTCTTGACAATGGTAGACCTTCTAGCGTCATTAGCTTTAACAGTGACTGCTCTCTGCAGGCCCTTGCTTCTGGGTCTAGGCCAGTCAGTATTATTAGCAGTATTAATGATGAGTTTGATGCCTACACATCTCAGATATCTGCTGCTGGTGTCAACATTGATATTGTGGTCCCCTTGGCAGAGGATCAATGCACAGTCAGCAGTCGACGCTCGTCCATTAGTTCATGGTTGAGTGAAGTCAGCATTTGTACAATTAGAAGCGATGGAGCACAGAACTGTGACACTTTACTTCCTCAAATGACTAATAAAAGCAGTGAGATTGTAGATTGCCTGAATCTGGATACAGAGAACACAAATGTTCAAATGGACCAGAATCTTAAAAATTACCTTAACGATAGTGGGTTTTGCTTCTCCGAATTGGACAATGACAGTATAGGTTCTGGTCTGCTTTATACTAGCAATGAGAAGAGCCTTAAGACCTCTGAGCTAACCAAAGCTATGCCAAGCAGTTATCAAGCAACTAGCCAGACTAGAGCTTGTAGCACCCGGGGTACATTATCATTTGACACAATCCACTCTAGTCTTCCTCGGAAAAATAAGTCTACCTCATCTGTAACACACACTAGTGCATTGAATGGAAAGGAAGGCACTTTTGAGGACCCTTGGACAGCACGAATGGATAATTTCTTAGAAGGAAGGACTGAAAATCAGCCACTTTCTGCAAAATCTTCCATTCTGGGTACAGACAATCAATTTAAACAGAGTTCAAAACTTGCACAAACTAGCACACCTAAGGCTCTGAAATCACAGATGACACTAGCATGTTCACAACGGGTGGTGGATGGCTGTGAAGTGGATGCCAAAGCTCCCACCAAAAAGACAGAACCGCTTTCAAAAGTGCCACAGCTTAGGAGAGGTGCCACAACTCTAGGAGTTACAACAAACTACAGCTCTCAAACTGAACATAGTACAAAAGGGGGATCGGATCCTGTTTTTTCTGATAGTAGTTTAAAATCATCAGGTTCTAAGAAGAACTTGCCTCAAAAAGCAAGCATGCTGCCAAGACCTGGTGGGACAGGACCCCCTGCACCCCCTGTACGGAAATCAAGCTTAGACCATAAAAATAATTCATTAAATTCAAACAGCCTTGGTAGGTTAGAAGAGTGTAGCAGATCTGCTCTGAATTTGATAGAGGACAGCGAAACACAGGTCAACAAAGTAACTAAGAATGACCATTCACTACCCAAAGCCGTGTCCAGCTTAAAGAGTAAGTCCAATAGATCAGAATATGTCCAGCGCTATGGAAGTCACATGTCCCTGGAAAGATGCGATAGTGTAGCTTCCATGGGTTCGAGAACTAGTGGGCCTCGTGACAACAGTAGTGGAAGTAGTATTAACAAAGCAAACCGAACTGTACCAAGGCTTGGGGTTCCATCTGCATCCAGCACAGTTACCTCACCACCTTCCTGCAATCCAAACACCAAAAACAACCAGGCTAAAAGTTCACTTTCTCAAAAAGCAACAACAAGTTTGACCAAGAACCGTAGTCTTTCAACCAATGGCTCGAAGTCTCTTAGCTCTTCGGTGAAATCTTTGAACCAGTCTAATGGGTCTAAAAGTTCTGGCATTCCTCCTAGTGGGAAAGCAGCTTCTAGATCTGTACAGTGCATCAGCAGCAAGTCTGCCAGAGGAACCATTATGGGGACTAAGCAAGCCTTAAGGGCAGCTAACAACCGGGTCAATGAGTTGGCATCTGGAAGCTCTGGCAAAATAGGTCACCTTCGGGGATCTACTGACTCTGACAGTGGAAATGACAGCGGTGTAAACCTTAGTGATGAGAAATCACAAACACCTGTTTTGCCATCACCTTATAGCAAGATAACAGCCCCAAGGAGGCCACAGAGATACAGCAGTGGTCATGGCAGTGATAACAGCAGTGTTCTCAGTGGGGAGCTGCCCCCAGCAATGGGTAGGACAGCCCTGTTCTATCACAGTGGGAGCAGTGGCTATGAGAGCATGATCCGCGATAGTGAAGCCACAGGGAGTGCGTCTTCAGCTCATGACTCAGTGAGCGAAAGTGGAATGTCATCATCTGGGCGGTTGAGGAGCTTAAAATCTCCAAAGAAAAGAGGTAACTTTTTTTTTTTTTATGTAGCATGCTTATTATTTAATTTCAGCAGCGTCCAAAAATCTCTCTTACCTAACTGTAGACTTATAAAGTGAAAATATTGATTTCTATGTTTAAACAAGCTAATACCATTCACAAATATGTGCGTAATGGTACCCGTACCTGTGCAGAACTGGAGATAGTTGACATTGTAATTAACTTTGCCGTGCAGCTAATTATTCCATATTATTAGTCAACTGAAGCTAATTACAGCCTTCCAGTGCCAGTTGCTGTAGTGATGTGCGAGATTCCTGAACAGGAATTCAGCTGTGGGAAATCCCTTCTCCTGTATTAATCTCAAGTATTTCCAGTTAGGATAAACCCTTGAAATGAACATGTTTGTGAATATTGTTAAAACTATTTTAACTAAATGCATGTATTGGGTTAGTGGCCCTTTATGCTAAAAAAAAAAAAAAAACCCACTAATAAAATACTCTCATTTTAACTTGTAAAGCTGGTGAGGGTAAACGCTATGATTTGTAGTTAAAAGAGAAGTATGGGATTTACAAAAAAATTAATTATACTCATCTAGGTGGATGCTGCATCTGTCCCCTGCTGGCTCTGCACTGAGAACTGAGTGATCAAACATTGCTGATAACTCAGTTCTCAGTCTTCTGTGAGCAGACAGCCAGGGATTGTTAGCCACCCCTCTAAGCTGGAGTGCTGTGCTGTGGAGGGGGCTGGAGCGGATGGCTCAGGCTCTCAGTGGCTCACTGGGAGGCTGAGCCATCTGCTGGTCCAGGCATCTGGGTGGATCCTCGACTCGCTGTTGGCTGAAAATGGATCAGAACTAACTGCACTCCTGTGATCCATAGGAGTAGTATACCCAAAATAGCTTTGCCTATACTTCTCCTTTAACTTGAATTAAAAGATCAGTTTACTGACAAATGTATTTTGATTACAAATGAAGCCAGATGGTCAGTCCCTGGCTTCCCATGTGTTATTGATGCTCAAACAGCAAGATCTCCCTGTCTAATTCTTAACCCCATTGAACTTCCCCAGTTCCAGGTCTCCAGGTTACATAATAAATAATTCAAAATGGAGTGCAGGAGCTCCTCATAATGGCCAAGGTAGCTCACAGTAGAGTCTCTGAGAGATATAAAACCCTTTCAGATGGTTTAACTCTCCAGCCTCTACCAAAAACTGAGCTTCATTTCTTGTTAACTCTTGAATTATGCTATTTTAGTGCTTTGAATAATTCCACTTTCTTTAAAGGACTTCAACGCCGAAGACTAATACCAGCTCCGCTCCCTGAAGCCACAACAACTGGCAGGAAGAACAACGTCACTGGTCAGTGGGTCGACCTGCCACCTTTACCTGGCACTTTAAAAGAACCCTTTGAAATTAAAGTCTATGAGATTGATGATGTTGAAAGATTGCAGAGGCACCGACATGAGGAAACAGAGGTCAGTGCTCACTTTAGTAGTCCAAGACTCTTTAACCTGTAGTTCCGAAATCCCACTGAGCCATTTTTTGTTTTAAAACAATAATCAAAGAAGAACTCCATACCACCCTTTTCACTTTATCATGTTGACTGATGGCATAGTTTTACCCTGCAAATAACTGCAGGTGACGCTTTCCTTAGAAGGGACAGCCCATGATGCAAGAACTAAAATTAAAAACAACTGAACAAAAACACTGACTCTTATTTTTTTTAGCCATCAAACAATTGGATTTTCCACCTATACAGCCATACAGCAATTAGTAATTATTAGTAATGCCATTAGTAATATTTTCTTTCCAGAGAAGGGGTTCTCTGTGTTTTTGGTGGTGAACCAGTTTTTGTCCTTAATTTCCACTTGAGCTGTGCTGGTAAAAACCTGTTTTGTGTGCATAAATAGAACCCACTAAATTAAGAAAAAAAATTTCAAGCAAATGTTTGCCTTAGCAGCTCACTGAACAAAATCGAGTGTTTCTGCTTTAGTGAAATTTTGCTGACTGTGGTAATTTTGCTGCAAAACAAATTTAGCTAATATAGCTTCACTCATCCCTAGTTATAACTGGCCTTTAAGCCACTAATAGTATTTAGTAAAATGTTCTCTAAAATGTCATTCACAGTTTTTAAAACAATCAATTGTGTTCTCAACATCCATCTATTACATTTTAATTCCAAGGTGCAACAAGTTGAAACTGAAAATCATTGAGATCTTGAGATGCACAGGCGAGTACAACCTACCCTTCTAGTGCTTGCTGTTGAACACATGTCCTTCCCATCCATTTAGTTAGTAGTTTAGTGATCTGAGCATCCTTGCTTGCAATGGAGCTATGAAACTCTCAAACAAATCCACTGCGCTGCAGTATTCTTTCCATCTGTCACATACAGCAAGCCGAATGTAGAAACAATAAACCACGCAGTTGTTCCTTACAGCCATCATTCACTTTTCAGCTCTGCCTTGAAATTTTGAATGTGAATAGGTACTAGAATCTCTTACTATGTATGCCATTAAATAATGTAGAAAGTTTGGAGTTAAGATTGATACCCTTTGCTGTATGAAGTCCAACAAAGGCTCTGAAAGCTTCTATCTTTGATAACTTCGGTTAGCAATTAAAAAGATATAACTGAAATTCCCAACTTTCTTCCGTGTGAATGTTTATACAGTAAATGCTCTGCCCACTTTGAGGCGATCTCTGAAAACCTGTCTCTTCAGGGAAGCCTATCCTGCCTTCAGCTAATAACCAAATCTTCTATTTTTCCCATCCGTTCGTCCTCCACAGTTATTAACTTTTGTAGCACTAGCCCCTCCCTCTTAGATTGTAAGCTCCAAGGAGCAGGGCCCTCCTAACCCTCTTGTATTAAACTGCATTGATGCTGTATTGTCTCCCTGTAGGCTAGGTTCACACTAATGTGGTACATCGCATGTGATTCGCACAGGAACCGCACCGCATTCCTGTGCAAATCATATGCGATTTGTGTGTGATTCAATTGGAGCCATACATTATGTATGGCTCAAATCGCACCGCACCAAAAAAGTGCAGGAACCTTTTTTGGGTCCGCACTAGAATCGGATCACATGGGTATTCACACCTATGCGATCTGATTCTGGTGTTAACTTAACACACACACGCGCATTGGTTCGCATAAACGGGGTGCAATTCTGATGCGGTGCGGAATTCACACAGAAAATTCTGCGAATTCCGCAACACATTAGTGTGAAGCCAGCCTTATATTGCAAAGAGCTGAACAAACCCAAGTTGGTGTTATATACATCCTGTATAATAATAATAGAAAATGAATTACACAGCTCAGAAAGTATGCTTCCAGTGACCCTGTGAGGTGGTTTCTGCATTTCGGTGCAATGGATAAGAGAATTCAATGTTTTGTTTTTTTTTGCACAGCTGAAATCTTTGCTGAATAACAATAGTAGCTCAATTAATGTGTTGTGTGAACTCCTCTGTATGCCTTTGACACAATGATATTATTAAAATACCTAACATTCTTGCATTAAGCAAGTTGGGCATGGTCAAAGTGGCTGCTGATTATGTGCGTTGCTTAAGTACTTTAAGCTGAACTAAGTTGGAATGGAAAAAAATAGCAAAGATGAGTTTAGAAAATGAAAACAGATTTGCGCCCAGATAGTGATCCAAGAATTCCTGGATAATTTCAGAAACTAGCTGCAATGAGAATGTCACAGTTGCTGGTTTTATGATTCATATGTTGGGGTGCACTTAGCAAGGAAGATTAAAATAATTGCTTTGCACAATTAATTGTGTTTAAAGTGATGGGTGTTCTGAGCCGGGAATATCAATGAACAGCTTATGAGCGGGCTTTAGCTTTTGATCCAGCTCAATAGCCGTTTATTACTTTCTTGCACTGGGATCATTAACTCTTTATGTAAATCATATCAGGCTTTTCCGTTAATGTGTTATTAAATCAGATATTGTTAGTTTGATTTTGCTGTAAAGATAAAGTCAGTGATTTTGTTTTTTTTTTTCCCTCTAAGCATTTAAATGAGACCCCGAGCCACAAATCAAGGATAATCAATATAATATGAAATAATATAGGTTTTCTACCTATAATTCTAGATCCCTTCAAGTACCTTTGTTACAGGTGGATAAAAATTGACTAGTTAAATGTACAGAAACAGTACATGTTTTGTAGTTATTCCTTGCTAGATTCATAGTACATTTGGAAATTAGAGAATTTTCTGCCAATGATTTTACTGGGGTTATATATCTATGTGGCAGTCTAATAACTTCCCTTTTGGATTAATAAGTATTCTGGATCTAAATAAACCTCCTTAAAACCCCCTGGCTAATTGATGTTGGAGAAAAAGGTAATTTAGAACCAGTGGCATAGCAGCCCAAGTGGCTCCTGTGGGGTCTTTGGTAGGAAGAGGGACTCAGTAGGAAGACTGTTAAACTATAATGTTTCTAGCATAGAAGATAGAAGGGCTGAAGTAAGATCTCAGAGGGAGAAGCATTTGCCTAGTTGTCTTAGCAGGGAAGCTGTATTGCCCTCTGAACTTCTACAAACTGAACCCTACATGCCTAATGCAGTCACAAATCCCAGGATAGTTGGCATTTGTGGTATCTACCAAAAAATAAGCTAGAGTTTGAGGAAATGTGTATTAAAATTATTAATTGTGTGCAAGAGTGTTAAAATGTCATATAGGAAACTGTTCACTGTTGGATGCAGTAATTGTTATATTATTCAAGAATACAATATTCCCTGTGGCATTTCCTCCACTGGAGGAAGGAATCTTTGCCTGTATGGCTAGCCTTACCCCCTCCACCACCCCCCTATTAACCTTCTATGGTGGTCCCCATGATTTGTATGTACTCCCATGGTTAGAACAGTCATATTTTTGAGACAAAATCAGCAAGTGGGCTCATCTCTTCGGCACAGGTCATGCTGCTGCCCACAATTCGTACTGAGCCATGAACATTTTTTTTTTAGGTTTACAGAAATATATCCTGTTTCAAAGTCTCCATTATTTGTTATGAAATCTTAAGAAAATAGCAAACTTGTTAGGGTAAGCAGTTTGCTAAAAGTTGGAGCTGTGTGCTGGTAACAGGGTGCCCAAATTATAATTCACATAAAACTAAATAGATATTTTTACATATTTGTTTTCCTTGCTACTTTTTTTGTCTGTTGTGGATTTGGCTAACTTAACTATTTTTTTTCTATTTTTCAGACTTTTCAAGATATGGAAAAGGTAAGAATCTTTAAATGATAAGCTCTCATTACATACTTAAATACTGATAAAGGCATGCCCATTAAATTAAATAAACATTCTAAACCCACCATTGACCCAGAGGAAGGCAAAAACCCAAATGTGTTCTAATTTGCAGTGTAGAAAAATTATTTCCTCATTCCAGAAGACATTCTGATATTCCCTCCCATCAAAATTGTACAATTTGTTTTCCTAAAAATACTAGTTGCCATTTTTAGTAACACATCCAGACCAATATTGAAGTAATTTTCTGAGTTGGATAGAACCATTCGCTATTGAAAACTATTCCACACATCGAAACCTTCACTGCAGAGAATCTCATCCATGTGTGAAAGTTAAACCTCTTTTCCTCCAGGCACAGAGTGGCCCTTGTCTTTTACAGTGACAACTTGGAGCTCACTATCTAGACCATTTATATATTTATACAAAGTAATTATTAATAATTTCTTATCAAGGATAAATTAATTTCTGTTACTCTTTCTTCATACCGAAGATCGTTCATGCTCATTATTAATATAGTTGAGGACACAAGGCAAACACATGCACTGTAAAATAGATACTTGTGAGCCATATTACCCGTCAAATGATTTGTACTTCAGTCTAGTTGTTATTATTCAGTCATTCCTGCCAAGAAAACAATATTTCATTGTCCAGCTTTATACTCTGTTGTGTCACCTCTGAACTCAAACCTGCTCATTGGTTAGTAACTAGTAATGCTGTTTGAATCACAAGGTTGGAATAACACAATTCCAGATCCTTTCAAATACATTTATTTTAAAATTTCAACCTTCCATTAAACTTTTTTCCCTGGAGTTGCAATTTAAACTTCTGTTTAAAAAAAAATAATCATCAGCTTTTAACCAGATATAACTCATGTAATTGCCTCATTCAATTTTGCTAAATGTAATATATGTAACATTTATGTTTTCAAGTCCATATTTGCTTAATTGTCTAGTTCCAATTATAATTGAACAAAAACTGTTTAAAGTTGTTGGTTTTTAATCTCCATCCATTTAAGATGGATTGGGAAGCTCCATTCCTGTATACCATAATTTTCACTCAATTACCTCTTCTATGAGTTTTTGTTTTGTAGTTAAAAGGCTATTTAGGATAGCTAATTTATTTTAAAAAAATGCAATGGGAATATGTAAAAGGAGGAAAGTGTATTCTTAAAATGTTAAGAAATTGGTCACTGATGAAAAAAATTAAGTTACACTTACGGTAACGCCTTTTGCAGTAGTCTTTCAGGACAGCACCTTGAGAGACCTCGGCTCCTCCCCACCTAAGGAAACACCTCCACCCTAAATAAAAAGTCTATGCTCCCCTCCGACCTCAGTTCTCGATCCGTACCTCCGGTCACCTGGGGAGACATAACATGAGATAACATGACCAAAATAATATATATTAATATACAGTAACAAAAGGGTGGGCAATAGTAGTGAAAGACTACTGGAAAAGGCATTACCGTAAGTGTAACTTAATTTTTCCCCTTTAGTCTTTCAGGACAGCACCTTGAGAGGATAAGCGAGTATTTACCCCTCAGGCGGGCTGACCGCTTGCAGTACCTTACGTCCAAAGGCCTGCTCTTGCACCGAGACCAGGTTGAGTCTGTAATGCTTTACAAACGTTCCAAAACTGGACCAGGTTGCTGCCCTACAACTTTGTCCTGGGGAAGCTCCTGCCAGCTCGGCTTGAGTAGTTGCTATGGCCCAGGTGGAATGTGCCCCGATTCCCTCTGGGACCTCTAACCCTTCTGCTCGGTATGCTTGCTCAATTGCCAGTCTTAACCATCTAGCAACTGTTCTCGTAGAAGCTCTTTTCCCTTTTCTCGCCCCTGCAAAGGAAACAAAAAATGATTCTGTGCTTCTAAATCCTTTAGTCTTTTCAAGGTAAAGTAGCATGCACCTTCTAACGTCTAATAAATGAAATTTCTCCTGATTTTCCCCTACCGGGTCAGGAAAAAATGAGGGCAACACTATATCTTGCTCCCTCTGAAACTTTTGGGCCACCTTCGGAATGAAGGATGGGTCGGTTCTAAACACCACTCTGTCTGGAAAAATTTGCAAATAGGGAGTCCTGACTGACAGGGCTTCCAGCTCGCACACCCTCCTTGCTGTGGTAACTGCCACCAAAAAGACCATTTTCAGCGTGAGATCCCTTAGCGAGCAGGACCCCAAGGAGTCAAACGGGGGCTCCATCAATACCATAAGTACTTTAGTCAGATCCCACATTGGAAATAGCCCACTCCCAGGAGGTCTCTGTCTTATCAGGGCTCTAAAGAACCTGATTACCAGTGCTTCTTTAGCTAAAGGGGCTTCCAGAAACACACTGAGAGCTGAAATCTGGCTCTTGAGTGTGCTGATCGAAAGCCCCTTATCGACCCCTGCCTGCAGAAATTCCAGGACTGACACCAGGCTATGGGTATCTACTGAGGCCCCAAAGCACCATTTCCTAAAGCAACCCCACACCTTCCAGTAAATGGCTTGGGTTTCTGCTAGCCAGGAGCGTAGCCACCAGTCTGGCCGAGAGCCCCTTCGCTAACAGAAGTTGTTGTTCAGAAACCAGGCTGTCAGTTTCAGCCCCTCCACCCTGGGACATAGCACCGGGGCTCTGTGCCAGTAAATCTCTCCGTGGAGGCAACACCCAGGGCGGCCGAGTGGTTAAGGCCCTCAGTGTTGCGAACCACGCCCTCCAGGGCCAATACGGAGCAATCAGGATGAGTGAAGTATTTTCCGCCATGAACTTCCTCAATACCGCTGACAGCAGGGCAACTGGGGGGGAAAGCGTAGCACAGCGGGTAATCCCACCTCTGCCCCAACGCGTCTACTGCCCGTGCTCTGTCCCACCGGCTTAAGTAAAAGAAGCTCGGGACCTTGTTTCTTCCTGACGCAAAAAGGTCTATGTCTGGGGATCCCCACCTCTTTACAATGGCCTGGTACACTTCCGCATTTAGAGCCCATTCCGACTCTCTGAGCTGTCTTCTGCTCAGATAGTCGGCTATCTGGTTCAGTTCTCCTTTTAGGTGGACGGCAGACAAGGAGGCAAGGTTTCTTTCCACCCAAGACAAAACCACTGCCACCAGGGACCGGAGCGACCTGCTCCTTGTTCCACCCTGCCTGTTTATATAGGCTACCACTGTCGCGTTGTCCGTCAGGACGCGGACATGCTGGCCCCCGATCCTGCTCTGGAAAGAGCGGAGAGCTTCCAATATCTTTCTCAACTTCCTCCAATTTGAGGATTCCCTTTTCTCTCCTGGGGACCACTCTCCCTGAATCACCTACTCCCCTAGTTGGGCCCCCCAACCTTTGGCACTGGCATCCATCGTGACCTCCTAGACCACCAGAAAACTCCATAACAGTCCCTGAGTCACATTGGCCATCTTCCTCCACCACCACAGGGATCTCTTTACACTGGGGGGAACAAGAATCCATGTATCTATGGACCATACCTGTCTGTCCCAGACCCTTAGGATAAAAAGTTGGAGGGGAGGAAAATGCAATCCTGCCCACTGAACTGCCGGGATGGACGAAGTCAACAGTCCCAACACTGACATGGCCTGCCTCACAGTTACGCCGCGGCTCCCCAGCAACAGCCTGATCCCTCCATTTAGCTTAGGCGAGTTTTTCTGAGGTTAGCAAGGTCTTCTGTCCTGTGGAATCTAGAATGTACCCCAAATAGGTCATTCTCTGTGAGGGGACCAGGCAGGATTTGTCCGGGTTCAATAGCCAACCCAGGCTCTCCAGGTGTCTCCTCCCTCCACAATGTTCCGCCTCAGCTGGACTTCCGAGCCTGCAAATAGGAGCAGGTCGTCCAAGTAAGCTATTACAGCTATTCCTCTCAGCCGATGGGAACCAACACCTCAGCCAGCACCTTGGTGAAAATTCTTGGAGAGGAGGAGAGTCCGAATGGTAAGGCTCGGAATTGAAGATGGTGCGTCCCTGCTATGCCCCGAACTGCTAACCTGAGAAAATGCTGGGAAGCTTCTGCAATGGGCACGTGTAGATATGCATCCTTCAAGTCGATACAGGCCATGAAGGCCCCTGGGGGGAAGAGGGCTATGATCGTAAAGATTGAGTCCATGCGGAATCTCTTGTACCGTATGGACTCGTTTAGGGGTCTTAGGTTCAAGATTAGTCTGTAGGCCCCCGATGGTTTTTGAACCAAAAATACGTGGGAATAGAACCCCTTTCCCACTTCTGTTTTGGGGTCTCTTGCTACCACTTTCTGTGCCTCTAAGTCCCGAAGCGAGTCTAGCAAGGCTGAGGCCCTCAGAGGACACTTGGGTAGGCTCGTCATCAACAATCTCTCTGGCGGTGGTCTCAAGAATTCTAGTTGGTAACCCCTCCTTACGATGTCCAGGATGAAAGGGCTGGAGACCTCCGCTTTCCACTGTGGGAGGAAGGCTTCCAATCTTCCTCCCACCAGGGGGACCAAGCCATCGCGGCTTCTAAGGCTGTTCAGGAGGATGAAAAATCACCCCTCCTTTGCCCCTCTCTGCCCCCAAGTCCTCCTCTGTCCCTCCATCCTAAGGCTCTGTCTTTTTGGGGGACGAAATCTTCTGGCCCCACATCCTGCAACTTTCGCTTCAGGGGGAAGGATTTTTTCCTGTCCACCGTACGGTCCAAGACAGACTCTAAGCCTGGTCCAAACAGGAGATCACCTGAGAAGGGGATGCCACACAATTTAATTTTAGACGTGATGTCTCCCTGCCATGTCTTAAGCCTCCGGGCTGAGTTGGTTAGAGCTGCTGACCTAGCCCCCAATCTCACCAACTCTGCGGATGCATCCGCGATGTACCCCACTCCCTGCAGTAATGTCTCAAACGATGCCAGGATCTTATCTTTTGGGGGAGTCGGCCACAATATGGGCTTGTAGCTGTGTCAGCCAGTACTCCATGTTCTTGGCTACAACAGTCATGGCCATGGCGGGCTTCAAATTTGACAGGGTTGAATCCCACGCCTTTTTAAGGAGAGAGTCAGCTATCCTGTCCAATAGGTCAGGCTAAACCCCCATGTCCTCGAACGCCAAATCCATTTTCCTGGCCATCTGGGAAAAAAGCTGCGTCCAACTTAGGGTTTTTGTTCCACAGGGCCCCCAGGTCTTCACTGAATGGAAACCTGCGCTTAAGCGCCTTAGAAAAAGAGTCGCGAAGCTGCGACCCCGGGAGAAGCCCCGCCCCTTCCGCCGGAAATGCCGTATCCTGACATCCGGCCCGGCAAGCTCCACTTACCGCCAGCGTGGGAAGGAGCGGAACTCCTCCCCGATCCTCACCAGATCCCACCGAGGCCGCCCCGACACCCGCAACTTGTCGGGGGCGGCCGGCAGGTTAGTGTTCCTGCCCTGTCACCCAGGGATCACACTCCTGCCCTGCAGCCTGTCAGGGGAGGATCGTAGCCGGCACTCCTGCCTTCACTCCCCGCTGCATCGAGTCCCCACAGCCGGCTCTCCGGCCTTGGACTCGCTTCGGGCCACTGTCCCCCTGACAGCACCTTGAGAGCTTCCTCAAGATGTCTCCCCACCGGAGGAAACACCAGGTCGGAGGGGAGCATAGACTTTTTATTTAGGGTGGAGTTGTTTCCTCAGGTGGGGAGGAGCCGAGGTCTCTCAAGGTGCTGTCCTGAAAGATGAAAGGGGAAAAGTACATTTTGAATTTTGACTGGTTCTGTAAAAGTTTCAATAACATTTCACTGGTTGGCAGTGATCTAAAATAGAGAATGAGTAAGAACATAAATATATTCCTGTCAATATATATACAGTTGTGTTCAAAATAATAGCAGTCAGACGTCACTAACCTGATCAATCACTGTTTTTGGTAGAAATAATATTTCTGCATGGCAAATAATTTACTAGCAGGTGTAATAGAGTAATAGCAATCCAACAGACCCAACATTCATGACATGCATGCTGCTGATTCTGTGTAATTGGATCACTAATTGAAAGGGGCATGTTCAAAATAATAGTGTGGAGATCTATTAGTGAGGTCATTCATTCTTTGAAAAACAGGTGGCAATTATTGCCCTTATTTAAGGAAGGGAGGCAGCAAATGTTGTACATGCTGGTTACAATGCATTTCTCTCTGAAATTCTGAGGAAAATGGGTCGTTCCAGACATTGAACAGAAGAACAGCGTACCTTGATTAAAAAGTTGAGGGGAAAACATATAAAGAAGTGCAGAAAATGATAGGCTGCTCAGCTAAAATGATCGCAAATGCTTTAAAATGGCAACCAAAACCTGAAAAACTACCATTCGAATGGATAGAAGAATAGCCAAAATGGCAAAGACTTAGCCAACAATCAGCTCCAGGAAGATCAAAGAAGGTCTAAAGTTACCTGTGAGTACAATTAGACGCCTATGTGAAGCCAAGCTATCGGCAAGAAGCCCCCGCAAAGTCCCACTGTTGAAAAAAAAGATGTGCTGAAGAGGTTACAATTTGCCAAAGAGCACATTGACTGGCCCTAAGAGAAATGGCGCAACATTTTGTGGACTGATGAAAGTAAAATTGTTCTTTTTGGGTCTAGTGGCCGGAGACAGTTTGTCAGACGACCCCCAAACACTGAATTCAAGCCACAGTACACTGTGAAGACAGTGAAGCATGATTGCGCAAGCATCATGATATGGGGATGTTTCTCATACTACGGTGTTGGGCCTATTTATCGCATACCAGGGATCATGGATCAGTTTGAATACATCAGAATACTTGAAGAGGTCATGCTGCCTTATGCTGAAGAGGAAATGCCCTTGAAATGGGTGTTCCAACAAGAGAACGACCCCAAACACACCAGTAAACGTGCAACATCTTAGTTCCAGACCAACAAGATTGACGTTATGGAGTGGCCAGCCCAATCCCCGGATCTTAATCCAATAGAAAACTTGTGGGGTGACTTCAAAAATGCAGTTTCTGAGGCAAAACCAAGAAATAGAGAAGAACTGTGGAATGTAGTCCAAATCATCCTGGGCTGGAATACCTGTTCACAAGTGCCAGAAGTTGGTTGATTCCATGCAACACAGATGTACAGCAGTTCTCAGAAACAGTGGTTATACAACGAAATATTAATTAAGTGATTCAAAGGAAAGCAAAATCTTCAAACATTTTTCAGTTTATATAGTGAATGTTTGAGTTTGTAAAGAAGAATACAAACACTGCTATTTTTTTGAACAGTCTAATATTCACTTTTCTTTAATTTTTTTTTTTAGAGGAACAACACAAATTTGTTATTTTTCTTCATGTTTTGATTTGGAATAGAATGTGTAGTGTTCCCAATGCATTTGTGTGTATGGAAATAAAACCTATTAGAAGGATTTTGCGCTTTTTTCAACACACTGCTATTATTTTGAACACAAGTGTGTGTGTGTGTGTGTGTGTGTGTGTGTGTGTGTATGTGTATATATATATATATATATATATATATATATATATTTTTTTTTTTTTCACAGTGACTGTGCACTTTTGTATAGCTAAAGCTCATTTTTTTTCATTTAGGATATTGTAGGGAATGTGTAAAATCCCAGTAAACTTTTACCAGCTGGAAGTTTTTTCTTAACTTACTTAACCAAAAAAAGTGTCCCCATTGGAAGATTTCCCCTCATCTTTTTTTAATGACAATTTTGTTTTTTGCTTACATTGAGTCCAGGTGACAATGGTCCAAGAATAGAGAGAGCAAATGTCCCAATTGGGGACACAGAGAGCAATAATAACTGACACAAAGCCTCAAGTGTGGGATCCCCAGTTCTTTTAAAAAAGCTTTACAGCATCTCTGTGGTGCCTCTAACTACCTTAGTAGGGTCAGGCTCCTCAGTACAAATTCACATAAAGGAAGAAAGACAGTTCAGGAATGATCAGTTTCTGAAGGTGTTTTGATGCCTTTGTGGAATTTTTAATTTATTTTACATTATGGAGAAGGCAGTTTGGGTTCAAAATCATAGTTGCATGTGTTGCTTCAGCTTCTCATCTGAGTTGCAAGCTACAGTGTGGTGGGCCCAGGCATGGGCTTTCCCAGGGAGAAGTCTGCCTGTGTGTTGCCAATCTTACTCATTCTGTAGCTGGAACTAGAGAGTTTTTGTAAGGGGTGATCCCAGACAAAACTAATATTTTAGTATTGTATGAATGCGAATGGGCTAAATTGCCAATCCCATGACATATTGGTTAAATATTCCCACTAGAATTCCAAGTTCTCTTCCCCAGTCCATAAAACTCTGTTCTTCCCACATTATTCTCCATACGGCAACATAAATGAAGTAACCAACGAGGCTGATAAAGACTCCCATTCATTAGATGCTGTGAATGGGTTGTGTTGGCAACATAGACACAGATCCTCACCTGAACCCTAGAATTGTGGATAGAATTTCAACCACCCCAGCAACCACACAAATCAGATTTGGGTGGACTGATATTTATCACAAATGAATGTTGTTTTAAGCATTTTAATTTTAAAAAAGTATATTTTATATTTAAAAAGTGTGCTACCATATGAAATCACATTTTTTTTCTATTTATTTAAAGGGCCTAATGTACTTTAACACTAAACTGAAGGTTGCAGAAAGAAGACAACAGAGAATTAGAGATTTAAAGGCAAAGCATGAGCTGTTAAAAGAAGAATTGGAGGAGACCAAGACTCGATTGATGATGGATCCAAACAAGTGGAGAGGAGAGTGTATGTATCTTTGGTTACTGGGTAAACCATGAATAATTGATAGCAGGTAGCCAGGCTTTTCATACAGCTAAAGCACTCTTTTGGGAAGTTTTCTTTACCATAGTTCAAGTTTACATTCACCTACCATGACCAATTATATAGCATTTTCTCTCTCTCTCTGAGAGGATGAGTGAAATGCCATTAATTACTTGTTTTGAGGGTGCTTGCTCTGAAACGGTCTTCAGTAACCTTAAATTTAAACTATAGGGAGTCATGAACTTGGAACAAGCATGGGCATACTACGTTTTCCAGAGTCTACGATTGTCCATCTTTCAGATAACATATTCTGGGGATTGTATTTCTTTTAATCATTCCATTAAGGGCAAGGTTATAGTCTCCTTCTAGCCTTCCTCTGATCCACTTATAGCCATCTATCCATACTACTTTTCTGCTTGCCTGCTGCAGGAATACACACTGGGTCAGCTCCAGGGTTGGGTAATCCCAGTAGATGAAATCATTGCCCCTTCCCACGTGAGTTTGTTTGTGCTTGGCTGCTTATGCCCGAGCATCTTAACATGGGTGTTGGAGCAACAGACTATGACGGAACAGGGAGGTGAAGAGGACCATTATTAATAATGTATCCTTACCAAGAAGTGCTTTACATTCAATGAATCATCTCAGAGAGTACTATTTATATTACAGTGAAATTGTGTTTTTTTCCTTTTGGGGAAAGCAACTGGTTCACTCCAATGCCAGCACCACCAGTTGCACATACTCACCTTCCTTATGTTCCCCCTGCTACTCTTTCTAAATCATGTCTTTAAGCTTATAGCAGGCTCTCTCTACACTCATGTGACAATGCTGGGTGCTTGAACAGGGATTGCCTAATTACAACATTGTCACATAGGAGGGAGGCTTTTACACCTATAATTGCTGTATTTATTTAGTACCAGGTACTTTCTTTAAATTCAATATCTTCAAAAATATCTGAAATATGTATCTAAAAATGCCCTTTAATTGTACTTTCATAAAACACTTTTGGTTTACCCTACAGTTGAGGTGGATCCATGCCTGGAGGAGGAATCTCAGGAGTACCTAGAGGCACTGGAACAAGTCACAGAAGACCTAGAGCTCTGTGTTAATGTATGCAAATCTCATGTCATGATGGTGACCTGCTTCGATATTGGGATGATCACAGATCAGCAAGATGGAGGAAAAGAAGTGGAAGTCTGAAGGAGATGGACACAGAAGAAAATGAATGAATGGACTTAAGAATGAAGATTTTTGGGAATGATCCTGCACAGTGCAATGAAAAAATAAAATTACATCGGAATGTGAAAATGTAAAATTGTAAAGAATGTTATTGGATTGAAACCGATGATGGATTGTAATGTTTCAATGAATATGGTGCCTCTAGACATGATTTAGCCTACTTGAGCAGTCTAGTTTTGTTTTGGAACCACCTCAAGTCAGAGTGGTCTCTTGTTTTGGAACCACCTCGAGTCAAAGTGGTCTCTGTAATAAAGCATTTAAAGGACCTGCAGCTTTGAGGTCAGCTGGAAAGCCATGGGATGCCTGCCCTGCTCTAGGATCCAGTTAAAAGGGTTTTCCACCTTCAAATTGCAGCTACAGAGGGAATGGTTTATGGTTCTAGAGAATACTAATCTGGTAGAAAGTATTACGGCTGTTGCAGCAGCGTAGTCTGATATGATGACTTTAGACCCCATAGCAATATGATGCCAGGTTGCAAGGCTTTGCTTATAAATCCTCCAAACTTATTTGTGCAGATTTACACTACATGCATTGCGTAACAAATGTCAATGCATGTTACATATATTGGTACAATGTGATGCCATTCATTCTGAATGGGACCCTAAGACTCCTTGCCAACAGAGGTGGTTTGTGGCGAGTTGGCATAAATGCTTTTTTTTTGGTGCAGTAGGCAGCCCATTCAAAGTAATGGGCTGCCTTAACACAATGTACATTAATGCACCGCAGTTGGGTGAATGGCCTCCTTTAGAATGTTATTACAGAGGCCCTGTTTATTCCCAGTCACATGAGAAAATGGGAGGCTGATGCACACAAATGTAGGACAATGAAACGGGTGGCGTTTCTTCAAAATCAACGTGTTCCCATAATGTAAAGAGAAGCTGCACCTTCCCTGATGATTTAAAGCAAATGCAATGTCCTAATACGTTTGCTACAAGACATAATCCATTGTTTCAAAAGGACTTGTTCACATCAATCAGTTGCATTATGCTGGCCCATAGATGGATCCAAATTTGGCTGCTTCAGCAGGAACTGGGTGAATTTCGATCCATCTATGGTTGTTCTGTTGGAAAATGACACAAGGATCCAGCTATGAAGGATAACATTCTTTCAAGTTCATGAGTTAGTGTGAGCAAGCCATTAAGCTAGCCATACACTGACTTTCCAATTACCTTATTTTTGCTTACATGTTAATCCACTCTCTCTCCTTTTTGGCCCCAGCAGTATTGGCTATCTCTAGTTAATCTTTCCCCATCACTGTATAAAAGAAATAGAGGACAATATTAAAAAAAAAAAAAAAAAACACCTGATCACGTGACTCTAGCATTAGTGTCCCAATGTTTTCAGTCTGAAATTTGAGGGGGGCTATTGCACAAGAGCACCAAACTAGTGTGTAACGTGCAATAAACTTGGACTTTAGATGCATAGCTAGATCCTCTTCCTTCCCTGTTGTGCAGTCCTCATAATTTGTTTTGATCTGTAATGAAGATTGTCCACTTTATGAACAGGCAGTCTACAAACTGTAGTAAAATTTTGCAACCAACAAGAAATGAGCTGTAGAAAGTGTATATATATACACAGTTTTTTTTATTGACACCTTTAACAAAAGCTTTAGATTAGATGGCTCATGCATGATTTTTGTGAACTTAATTCTTTATACATACTGACCCACAGGTCCCATTCATACAAGTGCAGTTCACACACTAGTATATTTAATGCAATTGCTAAGGCAGCCCATTCAAATTATTAGGCTGCCAACAAAGTTCAGCTGACCAAAAATCAGACATGCACCAGGTTCAGTTTGCATAGCGCACTGCAATGTACAGTAGTACCTTACCATGCCCTGCATTATGGCAGCACAGTGGTGTGAAAGAGCCCTCAATGTCTTTTGGAGCTGTGAAATTATTGTTTTATTTCTCCACCTAGTTCAATGGTACTTGCAGATTTACAGACATATGGAACATTCAATAGAAACCCTTTACTACTTGTTTTTTTTTTTATGAATAATATATTTTAGTAAAGAAAACCATGCCTAATAGAAAAAAAATACATTAACTCTAAAGTCCATAGCCTATAGACAACTGCAAGCCCTTGCCCACTGATTTAAGGAAACAAAGCACAATTTCAGAGATCAACAACAATGCTTATTTTTGCTCTTTGCACATAACTCTCAAACTAAACCCATAATATTATCATTGTTTATGCATGTATGGTAGATGCTAGTGCTGGGCCTAATATTACTTAGGACAATAGTGAAGAAGGGGGTCTCTAGAAAAAAAAATGGCCAGCCCATCTATCTGACCACTATTGTTGAGGTGCTGCATATTTTTATGGTAGAAACACCCTTTTTTTTCCATCATTCATTGAGGGACACTGCTTCATTCATGAGCTGTGTGGGTTTTTATAATCACCTGCAGAATTATGCGACATACAACAAAATGCAACCTAAGTGGCCAACACTACCTTCTAGCTAAATCCTAGCAGTAGAGGTAGTTAAGATGCCTCTTGTCCATCTCCTCAGTTCAAGGCTTTTTTCCTGGGTTTTGTGTTTTCTGGCTGCTCCTCAGGGGTAAGGTTTGTGGATGTCACACCTGTCTAATGAATGAAGCTGTGTACCACAGTGAATGATAGAGAAAATGGAATTTTAGTATTCACAGTAAAAATGTTAATTGAAAGAAACCATTCCCTCTGGTTGTTGGCAGAAAACCCCTTTTAGAAATCTTTTACAGAGAGTCAGTCAACCCAATGCAAAACGCGTGGTACCCTTGGGTGTCAACAGGATCAGAAATGGAACATGGTTTTAAAAAAAATGTGTGTTTTATAAAAAAAAAAGTGCCTTGTTTTCATACAAATTTTCTTATTTTATTTGGTGCTAAAATTTAAAGCCAGCAAACCTAAGCAGACCATTAAATGTATCAACATTTATATTGTACAGTATATGTAAAATTCCTTGTAAAAAAAATACAAACAGAAACACTGTAGCAGGAGCAATAATCGATTCTGTTTCCATACCTGAATTTGCCTTCTGATTTCACCGAAAAGCTGATTTTATGCAGCAAAATTAAAACAAAAGCTATTGTATTTTGTACCTGGTTAAACAAACTACAACAATGAAAAAATTAAAAACCTGTATAAAAGTTTTGCAAAACATTTTTGGAATTCAGTTTTCTACCATTCCATAATCAACTGAAAAATCCTTCTTATGGAATTTAAAAGATGTGTTAATTGCAGATGGATGTGTAATATTTTTACTCTGCGATAGTTCCAAAAAGCATGGTAACTTTGTTTTTTTCAATCTAACGATACTGATTATGCATTTTATAAAACCATTTTTTACAGTTTTTCTATGGAAGGCAAAAACTCAGGTCAGACCTATATAGATGCTGCATGTGATGTGTGCATTTTTCTGTTTTGTATGAAATGGCTAAGCACCGACTGCTGTATGATTGCCATTTGCCAAACACTTTGCAAAAGGTTTATGCGTGTATGTATTATTACATTTCATATGGAGTCATATTTTCTGATCATCTTGTTTTTTATATAGGGTTTACAAAACCTTTGTATAAATGTACAATACCTTACTTAAACTTTTATCTGTGAATAAAAGATACATTTATTAATAAATATATGCTTGGCATTGTTACCCTTTTCACGTAAAGCAGAACTACAGCCAAAATGAACAAGATAAAAATTATTAGCCCATTAAAACATAAAAGAAAAATCAAAACCAGGTTTTCTTGCAATATCTATCTTTAAACAGGAGATTTCCCCCTGTAGTACTTTTTTTGTCATTGGATGCTCTAAGTCTGATGACCAGCATCATTCAATCCACTTCCTCTGAGTCCTAGTCATACTGGGACTGCCCCAGCCTGGACAGTGAAAGGAATAGCAGCAGAGTGATGAGCTCAGCTCTCAGTCACTTTGTTTTCTTCTCCTATCAGCATACTCCTGGTCAGCTCCTGAACAGATTGGCTCCTTGTATTCCTACATTCTCACACTCCAGCCCTACTCTACAGGGACTACAAGAGGCTGATACCAGGTACTTATAGCGCTTGCATTTAACCTCTTCACGCCGAGCGCACGCAAATGTGAGGCCTCTCGGCGTCTGGGCCTTGAAACCGAGCGGCCGCACATTTGCGTGCAATTAAAAAAAAAAAAACGTGCTGAGAGCACAAGCCCTGCGTGCTCCCAGCACACATATCTGGTACTCACGGAAAGGTCCCGTTCTCCTATTGTGATCAGGACCTTTCCCGATCATGTGACCGCCGTGACAGCGAATCACAGCGGTCACATGACCCTAAATTAAGCACTCAACTCTGAGCACTTCCAGGTTCAAAGTTGTCAGATCTTGACTATGGCAAACTGAAAAATATCCAATCAAGCTCAATGTATACTCAATCTAGCTGGGTGGAGGTTTGGAGGTGTCTGATTGCTGTGAGAGCCTTAATGCCATTTTGCAAAAAAAAAAAAAAAAAAAAAAAAGGATACCTGTCATTCCCAAGGTAAATCACATCACTGGTAAGAAACATGAAAATTATATCAAAAAGTGAAAAAAAAATATTTAAAGCAGGGCCAGATCTAAGCCTCACTTATGTGGGAGTGCAGTAAAAAACTTTTTGAGGGGGGGCAGAGGATGCAAGGTCAGAATAGCAATGTACAGGGTCAGCAGATGGAAGACTGGGTCAATAGGGCAGTGTACAGAGGTCAGCAGGACAGAGGACAGGTGATCAGTAGGAATAAGGATGGGGGTGTCAGCAGGGCAGTATACAGGGATCAGCAGGGCACACCAAAATCCCCCACCCCTTCATAGCACAATCCCCCCAATCCTCCCTTAGCAAAAATGCTCCCCCAAATTCCTCTTCTCAGCACAAACACCCCCCCCCCATCCTCCCTTTGCCACAAAATCTCCCATCCCAACCTAAGCACAAATTATTGGTCCCAGTACAAATTCTGCACCTGTAAGT